TGGGAAGGGGAAGAGTGAGGAAAGCTTCCGAGGTGCTGGCTGAGAAAGTGGAGCTGTAATCCCTTAGCCTGACCTCATGGGAAAATCTGGACAGAATTTAGAAGACTAGTATGATATCAGAAGTTGTGCTGGTAAAGACGGGCTCAGGAGGTTTCTGCTAGGAGGAGGGGCTGCATTGGCTGTTAAACTCCAGATGATGCATGTTTTACCTTGGCAGAAAGTTTGTCTGCATTTTGCTCATGTCCAGAGATCTTTGCTGAAACTCAGATTGAAGACAATAGACTAGTAATTTCTTTGGAGAAATTTCAAGGCAGAAAAATGTTAAGATAGCAGTATGGCTACTGTTGGGGCTTTTTAGCCAGATTTTTGTTGAACTTAAAGAACAAAGATCTAGAATGATTTAAAATGATGTGAGTTTGGCTAGAAAGGAAACTCCAGTGGCTTGCAAAAATGGAACAGAAATTGGTCACTGAAAAGACTAGCAAGCAAAAGCCAACCTTTTCAGAAGAAGCCAACAGAAAAGGTGGGCTGAGGATGTCACTAGAACCAAGAGGATTTCAGTCTTTGCAGCCCCAGAGTTGCAAAGATAAAAGACTTTGCTTTTAGAGGAGAGCGCCAGAGCACCATCTAGAATGGTGGTAGCCTAGAGAAATTGTTCTTCGGGATTTGGTTTATAGGGTCTCCATCCCTACAGCCATGAGAGGAGGAAGCCTGACTACTGCTCCAGCTGGCAGCAGACTTTGGCATCATTCACGTGGTGCTGGTTTTAGGTGCATGCAGAATGCAAGAGTGGTTGAGTCTCTGACTGGTGTTCTGGACTCTAGTTTTGGTGATCTCAAGAACAACTTCTGCAATGCTGATTCTTTAATTCTTCAGCCTCTCTCCTGTTTGCCAGCCATTATACTATTACCTTCTCTTCCCTGACCATTCTGAGCTCTCTTAACTTCCTCCTTCCGTATTCCACATAGTGTGTCTTCTGGGGGCTCTTCCCTTCCTGGTTAGATTTTTAAAGACTTGCTTTTCCTTTAAGGTTCTCTTCACACATTTCCTTATGCAGAAGTGATGTTCTCTTTTCATACCCTTCTGAATTTCTCCTGCTTGTCCCTGTGGTATCCCAATCACAATGTATTGTAATGATCTAGTAGGGGCATGAAGGGAAAACAAAAACATAAAACAAAAAAATCCAACAACCACAACCACAACAAAATTTTGTCTTGATATCCTCAATGTGGTACAACTGGGGCCTTAAAAGTTTGATGATATTTTTCAAACAAATACTTAAACAAATGTGTTGTTTATGTACAAGAGTGATACTCTCCATGCCAAGGTATTATACTAGTGCTAGGTAATTCAGGACCCTTGGATGAGATCCACATCTTTAAGAAATGCATGGTCTGAGGTGAGATGGGATAGCAGGTAAGAGACAATAGACCATTCATGAAGGAACAGACTATATTTCATTTAGAGCTAAAAGATGTCAGTATTTAGGCCACTCATGTTTTAAGAAGGGTGAATTAATGGCAGTTTAAACTTACCCATTAATGAGAGCAGTATTATAAATTCTACCTCTTGGAGAAATGTATTCTTATAGACTCAGGTGTCAAGCTTTCTAACATCTTGTGATGTGAGGAGATGAAAAGTATATATATTTCAATTGATTTATTGTTAAATAGGGGTTTGTGTTAATTATATATAGGCAGAAACTTGAGAGTCAAAACTGCAGCAATTGTCTGAGCTGAACAGCTTTGTGCTTTCTGATATTTGAGATAAGATTTAAAATAGAAGTACTAGCTATTGATTCATAGTATATGAATCAATTTGCTAAAGTTGAAATGATTGTTCTCTAGTTTTAACTTTTAAAACTTTAAGAATTATTTTCTTCTGTTCTGATCTTATGATGTTTAATAATTGTAGGAATAAAAATATTTATTAGTTAATTGAATATTACAGTTTAAATAGAATTCATGTGTATTGTATTTAAATATACTATCTAAAATAATTTTATTTCAGTGTTATAAAAGTTACTGAATATCCATGACAACATCCTGTGGGCCTTAAAGGCATTATTTGAAATAAAACAGTCCATGTGTCTTAAAATGCAGGGATATTTTTTCAGAACACAAGTATTGCTAGTTGATTAGATTGCTATATCCAGAGCTTTTATTTTGTTGTCTCATGTATTTATTTACTGGTTACATTCTGGATGATTATTTAAAATTCTACTATCAGGGATAAAACATGAGCTTACTCTATTGTCTTTTATATGTCTGTGTTCTTCACTTAATAACTGTGAGGGTATTTCAGTGTTAGGAGAAATTCCAGTTAGAAATAATTCTTTTAATCTCTGCTTATAAACACTAAGCCCTTGAAAGATAGTTTTTCAAACTTTAGACAAAATCTATGTAATATTTTTAGTGAATATAAAATAATGCTGCTCAGCAAAGATATCCAAGTTATAGGAATTTTACTTTGAATTTAGTTTTTCAGAAGAATTTCATAATTAAAAAGTTTAATAGCAACAAAGAGCACCATCATTGAATGTAGCTATAGCTTTAATTTGTGTATAAATTTTTAATTGCAATGTAATAACTAGTAATGGTGATGTATGGATTTGGCTTAGAAACAAGTTTCAGTGAAGGAAATGAATATGAATTTTCAAATATCAAACTGGAGGGTATGTATTTGAGAACTAAAAGAGATAAGAGTTTTAGAAGGAAGAAATGATAGCATCAAAGCTAAGGAAAAGTAACAGACAAGGTTAACTGAGATAAGGACACAACAGTGTACACTGATTTTAATAATTCTGAAAGCAGTTTCAACACAGCAGTCACAGAAAGAACCAAATTTCAGTGAATATTATCTATCTTATTTTCTCTCTCCTTACTAGATAACTGGGCAGATTTATTCTATTATTAGCAACTATAGCTGGTGTTAATGTTAATAAATGCAGCATATGCTGAAGAGCAATCCCATAGCAATGTAAAATGCATGGAATGTTTTTATCTTAACAGATGACTTTCTCAGCTAGCCTTGAACACCAAATCTATGAAACCACAATTAATGTAAAGTGTGTCTTAATAAAGGGACTCTCTTTTAAGTTTTTGTATTTTCATTTCACATTGATTTTAAGCATATGTGAAAAGAACTCTTAATTTTGCTGCCACAACTCTTAGACCTGTGTAAGCTCTTGAAATACATTTATTATATTTTAGGACTATTATTATCTTACTTCTGAATAGAGAGAAAATTAAGGGGATGATAATGCTAGGAACAGCAAACCAAACCACAGACAGCCTATATTTTCTGGGTGTTAGTTAGGTATGCTTCTGTCATTTTTCAGTCCTTCCAGCTTTTCAGGATTTTCTCATAAAATGAATTAGACTAGATAAGAAAATGTGAATATATAAGTAGATGTGCTTGTTTCAGTTAAAGTCAAAGGAAGAGTAATAGTGACCGTTGAAGTTACCTTTAGCTTACAAACTCAGCTCTTCTATGTATTCTCTACTCTTTTTTGAAGCATAAATTCCCTCAGTAATTGTCATCAGATCATTCTCAACAGTGAGTCTCACTAGTTCATCTGTGATCTTGCTCTAAATTGTAATGAGTTGTGTGCATTTACTTATGCATTGTTTTCATTGTAATTTTAGTGCTACAAGGTAGAATTCCTTTTTTTTTTTTTTGTCTTTTTCCTTTTTATCGGTACCGGGGATCGAAGTCACTCATGACTGCCTGCTTTCAGGGCAGGCGCTTATGCCGCTGAGCTAAACCCCCAGCCCCTTTTGCCAGGCCATCTGGAAATAAGTATGTTGAAAAAACAGACCTTAATTCTGTCTGATCAATATGTACTTTACTCTTGGCTTCTCTCTGTCTGTCTGTCTCTCATTGAAAAATACAAATAATTCCAAGTTCTGCCATTTTAAATTTCTTTTAGGTCTTTTTCTCTTTGAGGTCTAGCTGACCTGCGTGATTACCTGTGAGACTACTAACACTATTCCTGTGTTTCTACTTGGTAGTTCAATGTTCTGCCTTACTGTGGTACCACAGATCCCCTCTTTGTGTATATGTATATATATATATCTATATATATCTATATCTATATCTATCTATCTATCTATATATATATATATATATATATATATATTTATCCAATATTATTTTTTGGTACCAGGGATCAAACTCAGGACCTCGCACTTACCAGGCAGGTGCTTATGTCACTGAGCTAAATCCCCAGCCCCGACTCTTTGGATATTTTTTACCTGATGAATGAATTTTGATAAGTCAGATGGTAATATAGATGGTATATGAATGTAATATAAAGACATCTTAGGAATTCCGTAATATTGGAGAAATTGTTAGAAAAAGAACAAGTTATCATTTGAGGCCAGCCTGGCTTACACAAAGACTTTGTGTCAAAACATAAAGAGCAAATTCTTATGTAACTGCTTACTTTATAGGTAGTAATGATGAATCAGGGTAGATTCATTTATTTTACAAATATACTACTCTGGTGGTTGATAAAGGGGGAAGCTTTGCATGTGCAGGTGCAGAGGACATATTGGGAATAATCTGTATCTTCACTTAATTTTACAACAAAAGCAGAAGTGATCTAGAATTAGAATATGTTTAAAAACAATGAGCAAATATTCATTCTCATTAATACTTTAGAAGCACGCAAAACATGAATTAAAGTTTACTTTCTCTGATTCAAAAGTAAATGAATTAATCTATGTGTGAAATTCTGAGCCTGGGAGAAATAGCTCTGTTGATTCACGCACTAATTACCTCTTGATAAACGCTTTTTAAAATTTTCAAAATTTATTAAAATTGAAACATTTAATCTTTTCTTCAATGAGCATTCATCTCGCTGCCTGCAATAAAGACATTGGTTTTCTAGATTTCAATTCAGTAGTTGGGGAGCATAAAATGATAAATACTTTGAAAGTTATGACTCAGTCACTTATATTCTCTGTTACTAACATTTACTTCTCATTTACCTTTAGGTTTGAAGTTTGAGGAAATTCAAGAAAGATTTGGAGAGGAATTCTTTAAGATATGCTTTGATGAAAATGAGCGAGTTCTTCGAGCTGTAGGTGGCACATTGCAGGACTTTTTTAATGGGTTTGATGCTTTGTTGGAACACATTAGAACTTCTTTTGGAAAACAGGCTACTCTGGAGTCACCATCTTTTCTATGCAAAGAGCTTCCTGAAGGGTCGCTTATGCTCCACTACTACCATCCTCACCATGTTGTGGGGTTTGCAATGCTGGGGATGATTAAAGCTGCAGGAAAGAAGATCTATCACCTGGATGTGGAAGTGGAACAGGTTGCACATGAGAAGCTGTGCTCTGATGGTTCAAACCCAGGCAACTGTAACTGTCTTACTTTCCTGATCAAAGAATGTGAAAATACCAACGTCACGAAGAATCTTCCACAGGGAACCTCCCAAGTTCCAGCGGACCTTAGGATTAGCATCAGCACCTTCTGTAGAGCCTTCCCTTTTCACTTGATGTTTGATCCCAACATGTCAGTCCTTCAGCTGGGGGAAGGTCTAAGAAAGCAACTCCGCTGTGACACTCACAAAGTGCTCAAGTTTGAGGACTGCTTTGAGATTGTTTCTCCAAAGGTCGATGCCACCTTTGAGAGGGTCCTTCTGCGACTGTCCACCCCATTTGTGATTAGGACCAAGCCTGAGGCTTCTAGTACTGAAAATAAAGACAAGGTGAGTAAAGTAGGCCTGAATTTGAGATGAGTGATAGTAAATAGCAGAATGGATAATTATTTTGATAAATTAACTTGCTGGCTGTACTTGTATTTAGGCAAGAGAGTTTTAAGTGCCATTTAGAAGATTACTTGTCCCCAGATGTATGTATAAAGATTTGGCCCTGCTCCCAGCCATTATACTCCCAATGAATGAGCGTCTGCATCATTCATTAATTTATTTCAGCACATAAAAAGAAGACATTTCATAGCAATTATGAAAATGATAGGACTTGCTAAAAATCTAATATAAACTCATGAATAGTTCCACTGATTGAAGTCAGACTGTGAGAGAAATGTTAAGACTGACTTCAGCATTGTGGGTCTTGACCATTTATCTTATCTTTAAATAAATGTAGGTGAAAATTAAGCTGTACGATGAATATATTTTCTTCTAAATTTCATAATCTAGGAAAACTTGGTTTACATCCTACATTTACCTTAATTTATAGTACAATATATTCCTCAAATGTTGGGATTAACTGTTTTAATACTTTTAATTATTTTCTAGTATTGAAATAGAGATTCATTCCTTTCAGAGCATAACCTTGAGAGAATAATGTGACTGCTAAGTATCTTTATTGTGGATTTCTTTGAATTCATTTTGGGAAATTTGAGTTATAAATTATAAATAGCTAAAGAAAACACATTACAAATAAATCTTAAGGTAGTTAGACTTAAGCACACATTGTGTTCCTCAGAAAAAATATTTTGAAAAGGCAATGCTAAAATGTAAAAAAATGCTAAAATGTAAAACATAAAAAGATTCATCAGTGACTTCTTATTTTTGATAATACCTTTTCGTTATTAAAAGGAAATTATATCAATTTTTAAGATAGATATTTGAATATATTATCATTCAGTTTTGAATAAAGTGTCTTTTGAACATTTTCTGTCAGGTTGAATAAATTTTGGCTACTCGGTTTGTTTTCAAGTACTTAGGGGAAGCTATTAGTTTCTGGAAATAAACAGATTTCTGTGACCTAAAGATAGGCAAGATTACAAAAATAATGACAAATTTAATTTCTTAGTCAATTTTTTTTGTCATGGGGACACCAACTATTTAAAAGAGAAGTTTATTTTTGCTGACAATTTTTTGAGATTTCAGTCCCTAGTCAGCAGGGTTTAAGGTGGCAACAGCATGCAGAGGGATATGGGTTCCAGGCAACAGAGAGACGGGAGTAATTGGGGAGGGAAATGCTCTTTCAGGTCAGGACTCAGCCTCCAGTGACCAGGCTGTATCTAGGCCATCTTGCAATAGTACACTTATCCACACTCATAAGCCAATCTACTTCCAAAAGCTCCACTTTTGAATGAATGAGAATTTGGAGGGAAATTCTAAATCTAAACCATAACACTTATAACCTATACATATTCTGGAGTGTTTGCAATAAATAAATGGCAAATAGCCGCTAAAAGAAGAATCAGAGGAGTTTTTGAAGATTTAATGCAGTACCGGTTTCATAATTGATTAAATTCTAAAATTTTGAAGTGCACTGGCACTATTTTGTGCATAGTCCAGTCAAATGGCTGATGTAAACATTTTTTAAAAAGTATATGAGAGAAATGGGATGATGCATATTTATTCACAATGACTGAATTAAGTGATGTAGGAAAATACATTTTTACTTGTGGAAAATTACTTGTGGAAAATACAGGTTTCAGTTTGGCATATTTAGATATTTTAGTCTGGATGAATTATTACAGTTGTTTAATCACATTTTGAAAGTATCTTAATGTGAAATTCATATATATGTATATATATATATATGTATATGTTCAGTAATTACTGCCCATTTTGATGGATTTTAGCATGGAGAAAACTTATAAAATATGTATTTTTCCCACATTTATAATTGCTTTTAAACTGAAATTGTTGTAGCTGTTTAATTTAGAGACTATTGAAGCTGCCAGCACGGTTTTATGGAAGTTCAGCATTTAGCTAGGAGAGTTTATGTAGTTTTGGGCTTCAGAATTGAAGTCCGTATTTTTGAAAGTATGTCTGAACCACACTATGTTACAACCAATGCTGTTTGTTTTATGTCTTATAGTTTTGAAAACATCAATTCAATATAAATTTACTTGGAGTTTTCACCCTATATTTCATTTGTGTTGCATTTCCATTTAATTTCTATAACAGGGTAAGAAATAGACATAATTAAATCATGACTCAAATCAGTCAAAGCCCCTTGCCAATTCCAGTAATAAGGAACTGTGCTCATTGAGAAAATACAATTATTATTTAAACATGTTCCTGTCAGTTTAAAAATCAAGTTATAGGCAAGATTCTTAGTTAGAAATGGATAATAAGCTGCTCATCCTTACATTTACATTTCTTTCTACTCTTCTACTTTGGTCCGAGAAGTTACAGTTGTCCTAAATTGTCTTAGCTAGATGAATACCATCTTCTAATTAGTATATCACCAAATTTCCAATATGTGTTGTTTTAAAATATAAAAAGTAGAAAGAAAGTCTGGCTTAAAAATTATAAATTTGACCTTTGACATGTACTATTTCCCATAATAGCTTTTTATTATTAGATTATTCCATCCTACCTGAAGTCCATAATTCTTTAGTTCACTTTCCTAAGAAATGCTATTTTACAATAACTAAACATATTTATTTCTTAGTATAACACTTGAAGGCTTTCATTATTTACCTGTTTTGTCTATGTACTTAACACCAGTGAACTGCCACCACTGCCATTAAGAAAATGCCAAGAGTTAATAAATAACCACATGACCTTAAAAATTTTTTATTTTTTAATTATATTTTTTTAAATTTTAAAGCGATTTAGACAAAAGAGGGCATAACAAAGCAGATCAGATTAGAACAATGCAAGCAATATGGCATTTTACTACAAGACAACCCTTAATTAACAGTAACCCCCATAATGTCTCTTTCTTTGAAATAGTTAAGCATAGCTTCATATGCGATAGTATCAAACATAACCAAACAGTATACAACCATTCAAGACAATGAAAGCATTAAAGGGCTTTCAGAATTAAATAGCAGAGAATGAACAATGGCTATGACATTGTTTCATTTTCCATAGAAAATTTGTTTATACTATCACACATAATATCCAGTAAGATATAACATGATAGAATGATAGAACCAAAGGAAACAGAAAAACCAAAGCATAGCAGGACTTCAGAGGAAGATGATGCTAATTGAGCTCTGGCAATTCTATTGTTTTGTTTTGTTCAAAATAGCTGTTCATACTATCACAGATAATAAATTCAAACAAACTAGGATTAAACCATTCAAACTAATGAATGCAGACATTATACGGCTTCAAAGAATGTAATGGGGAATCATGATTACCATAAACTCCTATGTATTCTTACTATTTCTAATACTAGGGAGACTATCTGGTATTTATATACATGAGTTTGATTAATTTTGCTAATGAGTATGGTCTCAAGTTGTGTCCTTTTATTTGTCAATATATGAATGTGATCATTCTTTATAGCTGAGTAGTACTCCATTGTATAAAAATACCACATCTTTCTTATCCATTCCTCAGTTGATGGATACTTAGGTTGTTTACAAGATCTGGCTATTACAAATGGTGTTGCTATAAAGATGAGTGCGCATATATGACTGTGGTATGGTGTTTTCAATTCTTCTGGGAACATACCTAGGAGTGGAATAGCGGGAACAAATGGGACTTCCAAACACAGCTTTTAGAGAAATCTCCAGACTAATCAGTCTACACTCCCACCAACAGTGCAGGAGTCTACACTGCACTGGATGTACCAGTCTACACTCCCACCAACAGTGCAGGAGAGTTCCTTTTTCCCTACAGCCTCTCCAGCATTTATTGTTGGTAGTTTTCTTAAATCTGGCCATTCTTTCTGGAGTGAGATGGAATCTCAGTGTTGTTTTACTTGGCATTTCTCTAATGAGTAATGATGATGAACATTTTTTCATGTATTTATTGGCTATTTGTATTTCTTCATCTGAGAACTGTGTATTCATCTCAGATGCCCCTTTTTGGATTGGGTCTTTAAATTTCGGGGGTCTGACTTTTTTTTAGTTCTTTCAATGTTTTAGACAGAAGTCCTTTGTCTGAGGGATAGTTCACTAAGATTTTTTCCCAGTTGTGGGTTTTCTTTTCACCATGCTGGAGATTTCTTTTGACATGCAGAAACTTTTTAATAAGATGTGATCACAGCTATTGATTGTGAGAAATATTTCCCGTGTGGATTGATTCCTGTTCATGAATTCTCTACCTACCCCTATGTCTTCAAGAGTTTTACGTAATTTGTCTTTCAACAGATTTAGTGTTTCTGTTTTAATATTCAGATCTTTGATCCATTTAGATTTTAGTTTAGTACATGGTGATAGGCATGGGTCTAGTTTTAGTTTTTGGCGTATGGAGAGCCAGTTTTCCCAACACCATTTATTAAAGTGACTGTCGTTCTTCCAGTGAACATGTTTGGCCCCTTTATCAAAGAGGAGGTGGTTGAGTGTGTTGCTAGATGTGGTTGTATCATCTAATCTAATCCATTGATCTTTGGCTCTGTTTTTATTCCAGTACCATGTTGATTTTCCTACAGTTGCTTTGTAGTATAACTTCAAGTCAGGGATTGTGATGCCCCCTGTCTTGCCTTTGCTGCTTAGTACTGTCTTTACTATTTTAAGTCTCTACTGGTTCCAGATGAATTTTAGCAATGATTTCTCTAGATCTATGAGGTATGTTGATGGTATTTTCATTGGAATTGCATTGAATCTGTATAACAGTTTTTGGAGAATGGATATTTTTACAGTATTTATTCTTCCTATCCATGAAAAAGGGATGTCTTTCCATTTCCTGTGATCTTTGATTTCTTTTTTCAGAGTATTATAATTTTCCCTGTATAGGTCTTTTGGTCTTTTGTGAGGTTAATATCTAAGTATTTCATTTTTTTGGATGTTAGTGTGAAGAGTGTGGCTTCTTTTATTTCTCTCTCAGTG